AGCTCCAGCAGAAGAAACCCCGGCATTCTGGCTGTCCCTATTTGCCAAAGCTGCAGCATCCTCAGGCGCACCGCCACACTTGGTGTCCTCCCCTGCAGCAGCGGCCCCAGGCGCCCATGGCTCCTGGCTATCCTCTCCTGCAGCAGCAGCGGCCTCAGGCGCCCAAGGCTCCTGGCTATCCCCTCCTGCAGCAGCAGCGGCCCCAGGCGGCCAAGGCTCCTGGCTATCCTCTCCTGCAGCAGCAGCGGCCCCAGGCGGCCAAGGCTCCTGGCTATCCTCTCCTGCAGCAGCAGCGGCCCCAGGCGCCCATGGCACCTGGCTATCCTCCCCTGCAGCAGCAGCAGCGGCCCCAGGCGCCCATGGCTCCTGGCTATCCTCCCCTGCAGCAGCAGCAGCAGCAGCAGCAGCGGCCCCAGGCGCCCATGGCTCCTGGCTATCCTCTCCTGCAGCAGCAGCAGCGGCCCCAGGCGCCCATGGCTCCTGGCTATCCTCTCCTGCAGCAGCAGCAGCAGCGGCCCCAGGCGCCCATGGCTCCTGGCTATCCTCTCCTGCAGCAGCAGCAGCAGCGGCCCCAGGCGCCCATGGCTCCTGGCTATCCTCTCCTGCAGCAGCAGCAGCAGCGGCCCCAGGCGCCCATGGCTCCTGGCTATCCTCTCCTGCAGCAGCAGCAGCAGCAGCGGCCCCAGGCGCCCATGGCTCCTGGCTATCCTCTCCTGCAGCGGCCCCAGGCGCCAAAGGCTCCTGGCTATCCTCTCCTGCAACGGCGGAAGCAGCAATGGCCCCTGGTGCCCCGGCCTCCTGGCTATCCTCTCCTGCAGTGGCTGCTGCCGCTGCAGCAGCAGGCTAGCTACTTTCTGGCTCAGGTAGCCTAGCAGGCTGGCTAACCTACCCAACAGTAGCAGCCACAGGTGCAACCAACCGGTTGTTACTATTGTGGCTGAAATAAGTAAAGTTTGGATGATGGCCCCAAAAGCCACCTACCTGTCGGCTGTGCCCCAGTAGCTGCAGATATGGCAGGTGCCTCCACAGCCATTCTACAAACATGAACTATACAAATTTTCCCCAAGGAGCTCCACAAATGGTAGTAACATTGAGAATTGATATGGTCTTCAATCAATTCCAGAGCAGCAATGGGAAAGGTATGTGACTTTACTCTGCTTTGTGATTTCAAATAGATTGCCTTTTTGACGTGACATTTAATTTGTGTTTCAGACATCGCAACGCTGGAGGTTCTACAGACTCCTTCCAATTGAGAGGTTTTATTGACTTGTCAGATTGTAATAAACTCTGTATCCTATAATCTCTTCAATAGATCTCTTTTTACAAAAGTACCACATCAAGTGATGGTTTATCTGATCCAAACACAATGAATATCGAGATCACAGGTTTCAGGGTTTTGACCTGAAACTTTTATTTGATGAAAGCACTGCTTGGCTCGGACTGTTGTGCAGGTGATATTATAATAAATCTTGGTATCCCAAGACAAAGTGTGAGTCTCCGCTGTGGTGGTCCCTTGTCACCAATTGGTTTGTCATGAGATGGATTTCCAGGGAAAGGGAGGTGTCCAGTTTGGGGACCTCAGAATTGTGTCCTTGGTTAATGAAAATGAGGTTGTTCTGTTCCTTGAAAATAAACTTCATTTGGCAATTGGATTTCTCGGTCTGAGTGGGAACTCACTACGGCATTGTTGTGGTGAAGCTTCAAGGCAAACGTCTTCATTTAGGAGTCCAACGCTGTGGGCGGGAGCTTCCTTCGTACGGTGAGTAGCTCAGAGGCACCAGTGTAAAGCGAAAGCCGATATCTCGTCTGCCTCGGGGTTCCCCTGTAAGAGCTGGAAAACGTTGCTATGAAGAGGGACGTCTGGAATACCCTCGTAGCCTCCGGCCCTGGATGAGTGGAAGCGACTGGATGGTCTTGTAGAATGATTCATTGCTGTAGATTAAACTCTGAAGCCAGTTTTTCATTTTCATCCCTTTACCAATCACTTCCATTACAGATGACATCCTCCCCACTGGTACACACCCTGCTGTACATAATAAGCATTACGAAATCTATGACCGACATGTGAAGCCCCAATTGGATAACAAACATCAGCTTCTCGGCCAATCAGATGGATACATTGAGCTGATGTGGGCGGGATCAGATGTTACTGTGCAGATTGTTTTTAGTTGGTTCTTAAGTAAAGAGGCTGCAGCACAACATTGTAAAACATTTAGAGGAGTTAAATGAGCCAATATATTTAAAGTTAGAAGGCATACATTTTTTTAGGTACCCTTTAAGATCATTTATTTTGATTCAGCAAGTGTTTTTAATACATTTAACATACATTATTTTCTAACTTATAAGAGTACTTGTTGATCCTTCTTGATCTCATGAATGTCCAATAAATATAACCAAGAAAAACAGTTTTACCTCCCGTTGAATGAAGTTTGGCTGAATTAACACACAAACGCTAGTGCACTTTATACTTAATATTTTTAAACTTTTTAAACTTTATTCTCTTGTTTTATACTTACATAGCCTTATTCTACTAACCCATTGCATTAGCATTTTACTTTATTACTTGTGCACTGCTGTCTTGTTGTCTATTGTTATACTGTTTACTGTCACGCACCAACCGCCAAGACAAATTCCTTGTATGTTTGACATATTTTGGCAATAAATGATTCCTGATGATGAAGCTGAGCACCTTTTCCCACCTTGTTCAGGAATGACATGCAAAAAGTCTTTCCTTGTTTCCCATAATGCAATGGCTCTCCTGTCAGGCGATTGGCTCTACTTGCCTTCAACTGCTCACACCTGAGTCCAGTTAGTCAGCAGGGTGAGAGGGGGGGTGTTAAAGAAAGCTCTCCTCGGACACTCCCTGGTTTTAAATCTGCTTCAGTTGTGTGTTTTCGTGGAGTTGACGGAAGTGCTTGTGTTTGCTGCTTCACTAAGCGGCTTCTAACTGGCTGAAGCCATGGAGTTTCTCTTGAGGTAAGTGTCTACGTGTAGTCTCTTAAATGGTTGAGTCGTGGTAACTGAGATGTCTCGCCTAGGTGGTTTCTGCTGTCCTTGACGGCTGTTGGAGGACGTCAAGCTCATGGTGAGTTAGTGAAGTAGAGCAGCTCCTCCATTGGTCGTACGTGTGGACCAACATGTCTGCTCTACAGGTTTCAGCATTGGATATGCTGAGAAGCATGGCGGCAATGAAGTGCCAGTTGCAGGCTATCGACCATATTTAAATGGCTTTAAAGCTGCAGGTGGGGCCTCAGGGAGGACTTGGCCTCGTGGTGGTGGTTCAGCCCCCAATGTGTATAAGGCAAGTAGCTACAACGCATCCAATTAGTGGTAAGTTGAATGTCAGTAACCCACGTCTCTCCGTAGTCATCAAATTATCTTCAACAGCCACAAGCAGCAGAGTCTGAGAATCCGCCCCAGCAGAAGGTCCCCCAGTGGCCACAGACGCGTAGCCATCTTTACCCGCAGCCTCCCCAGGTGGCCCAACGACACGGCTACGCCGCCCAACAGCACTGGCGACCACAAGAGCCCCGGGTGCCCCTGGCAACCCATCTATCCTGCCCAGCAACAAGAACCACAAAAGCAACTTCCACAAGTGGCCCAGCGGCACGGCTATCCTGCAGGGCTGATACCTCATCATCATCATCCTCCTCCTCCTCCTCCTCCTCAGCATCATCACCATCATCCTGCGCAGCAGCAACAACAATCTGGTTATCCTGCACAACAACAACAACAACAATCTGGTTATCCTGCACAACAACAACAATCTGGTTATCCTGCACAACAACAACAATCTGGTTATGCTGCACAACAGCAGCAGCAGCAGCAGCAGGCTGGTTTTCTTCCCCAGCAGCCATACTACAATAGTTATCCCACTTTTGTCTGAGGATCTCTAGTAATGGTTTGAACTGGTACACTTAGTATGGGCAGGGTGTGTAAATTAACTTGGTTTCAGCTGCTTAGATATCGATAAGTTATGTTTGTTTCAGCTATTGTAACACGGAAGTTCTACAAAGAATGCTTTCAACTTCGCAGTTGCATTGATTTGTCAAATTGAAATAAACTGCTTTTGTATCTTGTAATGACTTCAATGAAAGTAGATTTTCAACAGATTATTTAACTCTTGTGCAGAACTCTAATGTACTGCTTGTAGTAACATGCAAACCTCGGTCTGATTCCGAGTCTTTGTTTGGTGATGGTCAGCATAAGTACATGAACGGCTTTTATGTTTTACTAGTTGTTGCTGCTCTATAACCCTTAAGCTCCACTAGGAGGCGCCCTGCTGTAAAGTTCAAGCACCACATCGCTGAACAGATCGTCACCTTGCTGCTCCAATGGGATCTCAAAGATCGATCTCTCGGCCAATCTAATTGCTTCAACGGAATGGGCGGGACCGGAAGTGGCCGTTTAGAAGTTTTTCTCTCAGTCAGCAAGCGTGACGGTTCCAGAAGCGTCAAACACCGTCAGAAACGTTCAATGAACCGACATATTTAAATATCGGAAAGTGTGCAAGTGTCTTGTGAGCATCACGCTTGTTCTGTTTTCTGTATTTCTAAGGTAAGTCCGCTGTGATCGGTTCGCTAGCATGCTAATGCTAACGCTAGTTAACGGTAGCCAGCTACCTGGTTTATTTAACGTTAGCCAACTAGCATGCTAACGCTAGTGCACCGGGAAGCAGCAACGGGCTAACGTTAGCGGTTTTATTTAGCTGACTAGCATGCTAAATGCTAGCGTGCGGTAAAGCAGCGGCCTACGGTACATCCGGGTTACGGGACAAAACGGGCAGGCGACGTTAGCGACGACGGCGGGTTTGTTGTGTTTGTAAACGGCAACACGTGACCAGGTGAGCGTGTCCAGCCTCCGTTTCCCCGCGTGACCGTGTGCGTGTCGTTCACAGCCGCGGCGAGTCGTCATGGGCGAGGTGGAGCTGTCCTGCCGCGCCTACGTCAAGATGCACCTGCACGCCTGCGTCTTCCCGCGCTGCAGCATCAACGGGCTGCTGCTGTCCTCCGGCTCCGCGGGCGGCGCCGTGTGCGTCACGGACTGTGTGCCGCTGCTCCACTCCCACCTGCCGCTGGCTCCCATCAGCCAGCTGGCCCTCACGCAGGTAAAGGACGCAGGTGTGTGTGTGTGTGTGTGTGTTTACACATCCTGTACTTCAGCAGTCAAGCCGCTGTCCGTGTTCTGCTATGAATCCATCTCCTGGTTCTGGATCAATTCTTCTGCGGCCTGTTGGATAGATTTGTTACAGCAATGCGTCATATTCTTCTTCCAGGTGGACGCGTGGTGTTCACAGACACAGCAAAGGATTGTGGGATACTATCAAGCCAACGCCTGCGTGTCAGACAGCAGGCGAGTGTTTTTCTTTCTTTCTACACCGGATGCGCCTGTTGGTGTTTTACTAACCCGTGAACCTGTCTCCCTTTGTCCAGCCCGACTCCGTGCGCGCTAAAGATAGCCGATAAGATTTGTGAGCAGTTTGACAACGCCGTGTTGTTAATGGTAAGAATGTGAACACCTTCCTTTTGTTACCTGTAGAGGTGAGAAGCCAGTGATCAGCCTGTGTAGTAAATGTGAGATGCTCTTGCGTCTCTTTTAATGTCACTGAAACTGCATTTCTGTTGTAGGCAGATTCAAGAAGTAGATCTATTTTTTTCACCTGGATCAGTTTGATGAACACGTGGTTTTTCTCTGCAGCTTGATGGCAGTAAGATGTCTTCAGACTACCGGGTTCCTCCCATCGTCATGTACGAGCGCAAAGATTCAAGATGGACGCTCAAAGACAAACACACGTAAGTCGGAGGGTCGTTTTCGTCAGATTGGCACAAACGTCCACTTGAACTGACGAGAATTTGATGGTCTAATGACGGCGTCTCTAGCGGAGACGCGTACGGCGTCTCTACTTGTGAGTGGGGGGGGGGTCGTCCTCCTCCTATCAGGGTTGGCGGTTCGATCCCGGCTAACCTGCACGTCGACGAGTCCTTTGAGCAAGACACTTGACCCGCGTTGCTCCTGTAGCTGCGGCTGCTGTGTGATGTACGATGGGCAGGTGGCCGTGTGAATGAAAACATGAGGCGTTAAAGCGCTTTGAGTGGTGGGAAGACTAAAGACGGGTTATACAAGTACAGCCCGTCTAATCCTCCGTGGTCCGTACGTGGAGGTGAGCTGGTAATTGCATTTCGTAGTGTTGATCTTCCTTTTTATTCTCTCTGTCTATTTATTTATTAATTCATTAGTAATAATCTTGTAACATGTTCGTGTCGTTCAGGATAATGCTGCGTCAGTGGGAGGAGACTCAGGCGATAGCCGCTCAGCTGCTGGAGGCCGGCGACCAGTCGCTGTTGGTCGATTTTGACGGCCACTTGGACGACATAACGAAGGACTGGACCAACCAGAAACTGAACAACAAGATCGCCGAGCTCGCCTCTCCGGCCAACGGGAACATCTAGAGGGGTCATGTGACGTTAACGAGGGAAACATCTGGAGGGGTCATGTGACGTTAACGAGGGGAACATCTGGACGGGTCATGTGACGTTAACGAGGGGAACATCTGGACGGGTCATGTGACGTTAACGAGGGGAACATCTGGAGGGGTCATGTGACGTTAACGAGGGAACATCTGGAGGGGTCATGTGACGTTAACGAGGGGAACATCTGGACGGGTCATGTGACGTTAACGAGGGGAACATCTGGAGGGGTCATGTGACAGTTACAGAGAATACTTCGGGAGGGTTCATGGGCCATATTTGACATAAATGCACCGGTTTGTCTTTTAATGCATTTTCACCTCTGACCAGGGACATAACATAGAACATGCATGAACGAAATATGTACAGCTTAATATCCCCTCCCCCCCCCCCCCGTGCCTTGTGCTCCAACAGCCTCCTCGTTTAAAGTAAAAAATCAACACAAACATTTATTTTAACGCACTTTTTGTATTTCTTGTCCCGTTTGGTCTTTTTCCTTACTTTTTTTTTTTTTTTTTTGTTAAATGTTTGAAGCCCCAAATGTTTCGTGGTTGTAACGGAGCTAAAAGTAGTTTACATCACTAATGAAATATGCAGTCTTAATATTGGTAGATGTAATGAGCTTTAAAAGCATTTGTACAATGTTCTGAAATGGTTTGTAACTCGACATGATGTAGATAATTAAATGCATTAGTCTTGTTAGATAATATAGAAAATTACATTTTTCCTTTTGTGGAAAAAAAAAACGGCTAAGACATGATCACAAATGTGACCTTGAACCCACGTTTGTAAAATGTATCAAGGTATAAAACTACTAAAGCCAACAAAGAATAACTTCTAAAGAGTCGTTTGTGACGTTTCATCTCGTATGTGAGATTAACGGTTCGTATTGTGCTTCAATACAAACACAATCACCAGCTGCTCACTTCTCAACCTTTTCTTTTCACCCGCTGATGAAAAAAGGACGAATTATTTTCCCGTTGCTTTTCTTTCAACCCTGTGAGGGTCTCCACCCACAGGTTGGGAACCGCTGGCTCAGAGCAGAAACACATATTTCCAGGAAGAACGAGACGACACAAAAACCCAAGAGCGTCACGATGGAGAAGCTCCTAAAAGTCGATCAGTCGCCTGATCGTCCGTAGTGGAACCCCCCCAGTGTCGCTCTACGCGTAGTGCTTCCAGTACTATGTTGACTTGAATAAAAATGTTTTTCATAAGTGCTATATTTGTTTAGTGCAAACCGTCAGGGCCGAGCGATATGAGGAAAATTAATTATTTTAGCCGAAATCTTGAATCTGACGACGTCCCTTTTTTTATATAGTTGGTGCGTTCAAGGTGATCGACCTCATCGCTCGGCCCTTTGGGCTCTTATTTTGAAAGGGAGGCCGTCGTGGGCTCAGGCGAACCCGCAGGCGTCCGGAGGGACGGTGACCAGGTTCAGCGTGATTTCCCCCAGCGGAGACTCGCTGGCGAGCGCCTGCAGGATGTCGATGGACTCGCAGAAGGAGCGCGCGTTGAGCAGCTGCTGCTCCGCCCACGGGAAGCCCACCTGAGAGCAGGTACGGGTCAGGTGACTTCATCAGGCAGTAATAATCGCTTACGGTAATTCACCGTAAGTCAGAAGTTGTTTTCTACAACTTAAATCCACTGCAGAAGAATATTCCATATTTACACATCGAACACCTGTTTAAAGGAACGAAGGACTCACCTGAACTATGATGAGTTTCCCCGTCGGGTCTTCGCCGTCACTCAACTCCTCCCCGAAGCACAGAGTGACGCCGCACCGCGGGGGGGCGCCACCGTTGGAGCGGAACGCGTCAAGTTCTGATCATAAGAGACGAAAGTGCATCGTTTCCAACATGAACTCATGATGAAATAAAACCACATGAAAGAGTTTATGAATAAATAAATAATAATTCTCTCGTTTTTAGAGGAATCTTTGGGAATCAACAGAACTCGATGACTCACGTTGCCTGAAGGCGTCTTTGCTGAAGAGCATCGCCGGCTCGGCGTTCCTCTCCATCTTGCGAAGCCCCGCGGCGGCGTGCGGCCCCGTCCAGAAGACCCGCCCCTGGCAGAGGCGCCTGCCGTAGACGCCCTGCTGCGTGGCGGTCAGCACCACCCCCTTCTCCATGAAGGGCAGCAGCGTGAGCAGCGCCTGGCGCTGGGGGCCCGCCGCCAGGCCGCCGGGGGCTCCGGCAGCTGGACGCGGGGGAAGCGGTCCTTGGTGACGGCCGGCGTGGGCGGGGCGTGGGAGGGGGGCAGGTACGTGATGCGGACGTCGTCGTTGAGAATCTGACGCGGAGGACCTCGACGCCTGAATAGTGAACCGCCACGCTGAAGGAGTCCTGACCTGCAGACACAATAAGAGCGCAGATCATTTTTTTTATATCTTTTCTGTTCTTCCGCACTGAAGACGCGTTTGAGTAAAGTAAAAGGCTTTTATTTGTAGGGGCTTCGTTATTCGTTACCTCCCACCGGAGCGTCGACGCTCTCCTCGATGCGCACGTCGAGCTGCAGCTCGTTGACCGCTGCAGACGGGGAGAGGCGGCCGGCTGTCCCTGATGGCAACGAAGAACATCACAGGTCCGTCAGCCGACGCGTTCATCCGAAGCCACTTGAATCACACTTTAAACCCGCCGCTTTTTTCACATTTTGCCCGGGGAGCAATTAGGGGTCAGGTGTCTTGCTCAGGGACACTTCGACCACCAACCACCACCTCTAACCCCTGCGCCACCACGACCCCCGGATGACGTCGTCATAGCGCGTCAACGCGGCGTGCAAACAAACGCAGCCAAAATTTAAGCTGAACTGGTCTTGATCGAACCGGCGGGACTTGAACTCACCGTCCGAGGGCGCGGGGGCCTGAGCGGGCTCTTCCATCGGCACGGGGGCGTCCCGCCACTGCAGAACCTCCTCAACACCCTGACGGCCACACGCACAAACAGAGGGAGGTCCGTGTCATCACAAAATACATAGATGTACCGTAGAAATACATCCGGAATTAAATGTTGAGTTAAAAATAGATTATTACTTCATAATTCCACATGTGTATTTCAGGGGACTTTTATTTATTCACAAGGACATTTATTTCATGATTTGTTTATTCATAACTTATAATTCAATAACTGATGCAATATTTCTACAATAATTGGAATATTTAAGGGGACTTTAATGATACATTTATTTATTTATATTTATTAAATGGGACGTATGTCATGAATCCACATTTATTTGTTCACGAAGACTTTGATTTAATAATTTTACATTTATTTAGGTATTATTTCAGGGGTCAGGACTTTATTTCTGTGTTGTATTAAAATGACTGACGTGGTTTTCTGACGCGACCTCGTTTATTTATTCACGTGACTTCTTGACCTTTTGACTCCAGCTGAGCAGTAAAAACTAGAAGCATGAAACCCTGAAGCTCACCGGCTGTGAGGGGACCTCCTCCGTCTTTATCTGCTTCACCTCCACGTCGCTGCTCTCCGATTCGCTGCTGCTCCTCCTGATGCTCCTCCTCCTGCTCCTCCTCCTCCTCATCGGCCTCTTGGGGGCCTTCGCTCTGGGTTTCTTCTCAGGAACCACGAGGCCTACGAGGAGGAGAGCTTCAGAAGATAAATGTGTGATCCACGCTCCGCCCCCTCCTCCCCCTCTTCCCCCTCTTCCCCCTCCTCCTCCTCCTCCTCCACACCCTCCTCCCCACCCTCCTCCCCCTCCTCCTCCTCCTCCTCACCCTGCTCGCTGACGGGCACCAGCCGGTACACCTTGTACGGCTCGGAGATGTCCAGCTGCGCCCGCTCCGTCACCTCGGTGAACTCGGGGCTCTTGTTGAGGGCGCAGCGGAGGCGTGTCTTCCAGGAGGCGGGGCTGTGCTGGCCGCCGGCCGTCGGCTTGCCCTTGAACTCCGCCCACGCCTGCGGAGAGAGAACGAGGTCACGGAGAGGTCAGCCCCCGCCTTTTTCCCCCCACGACCCTGGAGACAAGCGGGACACGGCGACCTTGAAGATGGCGGCGTCCTCGTCCCTCCTGAAGTCCTGCTTCCCGGCGTGTTTCCACGGGATGCGGAACATCGTTCTGGGGTCGTCGTCCCAAACCAGACCGGGGTACTTCCCACTGCTCACCTGCACCAGTAACATACAGTACACACGCGTGTCAGAATGCTAACACGTGGACGGCGGTCCATTCCTACAGCAGCAGCTACACGTCTGTGCAGGTAAACAATATTAAAATGTACACAAATAAACAATGAAATACAGGCGGAAATATAACTGTTATTATTGTACACTGAGTTTAATACTTCTTCATACTGTGTGGTATTAGTACCCTTCAGAGTACTTAAGACAGGGTGGTTTTAGTACTATTACATTAACAGAGTACTTTAGGCTCTGAAGTACTTTTCCTTTCCTTCCCCCTCGCACGCGCGCACGCGCACACGCACCTGTTCGACGATCCACGAGCGCAGTCTGCGCGTGGACCTCGTTCTCCCCGCTGCCATGACGCCTGTAACAATAAACAACAACAACAACAACACAAACACACTTTAAACAACAAGTCGCAGCATCGATTCGTTTCTGTACAAATATCGATTAGATTTAAGCTCGAGACCGTAAACAAACTCATTTCCTCGAAAATACGCGAGACCACAACAACAACAACAACAACAACAACACGACGACCTGTGTGGCTCTCCTCCGTACACACACACACACACACACACACACACACACACACACACACACACACACACACACAGACACACATATAGATACACACAAAGACATACACATACACACACACACGGTCCTTAAATACAGGTGTGGAATTAAGGAAGTTGGGTTTCCTTTACCTCGCTCTCGTTTCCTCCGGACTGAAGAGGACTAAAGAGGACTAAAGCGGACTGAAGAGGACTAAAGCGGACTGAAGAGGACTAAAGCGGACTGAAGAGGACTAAAGCGGACCGAGGTGGTGCTGCGGTCCGATACCCGAGTGCCGCTCTGCAGGCGCTCCTTTTCTGCGAAGTCACGTGACTTTCAGGAAGCCGCAGCGTGCGCGTCGTCCCCGCCAGGGGGCGAGCACGGGAACACACGCACACACACACACACACACGCACGCACGCACGCACGCACGCACACATGCACGCACGCACGCACGCACACACGCACACACACACACACATAAACATATAACGTGACCCACGTTATACTCATCCAGCGGTAGAATAAGTACATTTCGATATGATATGCAGAATACTACACTAAGCAAATAAATACTGCAGTATCACCTTACTGGAGTGAAACTGTATAATCAGCTAGTACTTTTTACTGTACTACATCTCAGAGGTATATAATGTAATTTTAGGTGGTGAAAATTGTTTTAATATTTTATATGTAAAGTAAATAATAACTTTAACAGATGGAGAAGAACATTCATTCTAAATGGTAGTGGAAGTATAAATTAGAGTAGAAATACACCACCACTCAATGTAGTATTATAAAGAATAGTTGGTCAAACACACTTCAAAATAATCATTTCTTTATTCATCTATTCACCAGTCGCATATAAAACCAACAGATTACAAATATTCTCACCCTTTATATTTCTGATTTCTTTCTGTGTATTTTAAACATACATTTCCAAAAAGTGGAAACAAATCATCATATTTGAATTTCACACGTCAAATAAATTCCTCTGAATATGTATTATAAGTATCTATGAAAAACCGAGATAACAAAGAAGCGAAGCATTTGGTAATCAGGTCATCGTCATGACGATGGGAACTAAGACCACAGATCCCGAAGCTGCCTCCGACGTTTGGAACACAGCCGACATTTGGAGACTTGCGTAGAATTAAAAACTAACAGATCTGCTGCAAAAACTTCTATTTGTTCCGAGGAACTTTTTCCCCAAGAGGAACCTCCATCAGTTTCTGTGGGTTGGAGAGAAAACACCATCATCATCATGCATTATGTGTTTAACATTTCTGCTTTTATTTTGAAGGCGATGCAAAAAGGGGATTTCCACTGCAGCAGTGACTCCACCCCTGAGGAGCTGGCCGGATTAGTCTCCGCCCCCACAAGGTGGTTGCCTCACCTTGAGGAGTCGAGCGAGGAAGACGTCCTCGTCCTCGTCCCCCCCCCTCTGCGTGTCCACCAGGTAGCGCTCGCAGGCCCTGATGACCTCGCTGGCCTCGTAGAGGGGGGCGGGGTCCAGGGAGTGGGCGTTGATGAGGCTCACCAGGTACTCCTTGTAGTGCTTCCTGCAGTAGAAGTATAAATATCATTCATATATTCATCATTATATTAAGACTTTAGCGTGTTAATAAAGTTACAGTTTAGCATGTTTTTTGCATGACTTTGTAGCAGCTGTCACTCACTCGCAGAGGCCGGCCTGTCCCGGCTGCGTGCGGAGGCCACACGGAGACTCCACCTTATCGTCCTTCTGCTCCATCACACAGCAAGCCTCTGGGTCACAGAGAAACCATCAATAATACCAATAAATATCAGATAAACAGACATTCAAATGAGCTTTTGAGAGAAAAAGAAGAATTAAATAACATTTAAGATGTTAATAAGTCATGTAATGACTGCAGGGTGCGTTTTTCTCCCGGAAGGAAACACAAGGCGGCGTTTTACCGGACTGAGATCCGTCAGAAGGATCCGTGTTGAAGTCCACGCCGCTCCTCTGGGGACACAAAAACAAGGGAGTCATACGCTTCGGTTTGTATTTGTGATTAATTACCTTAATCTAACAGCTGCTTTGGCTTTACTTCTATCAGTATTGTTCTGCTGGTACCAGCTGACCTCAGTTATTCTGCTTGGTGAAGCAGTGACATTTGATCACAGAGCTCAAACATTATTTCTAGCGCTGAAAAGGTAAGTTTTAATTTTCTTAACATTATTACAATGAATGAATTAAAGAGGCAAGTGGTTTTAGCTCGTAGCGTAGCATGATGGGGGAAGGGGGGAGGACCTGCAGCAGAGCCTGTAGGCGGGGGGGCTCCCAGTCCCTGAGGTAGAAGAGGCAGTCCCGCGGGTGATGAGCATGCAGCCCGGGGCAGATGCACTGCGCCGCCTTACAGACCGTCTGCAGGGCAGAAGCAAACACAGTCACGCTTGACCCGCCTCCAAAAGGAGGAGGAGCCTAAAGCAAACACCTAAATAAAATGCTGGGATCTGCAGACACAAGTTTTTAAAACAATAATTGATTTAGGTTTCAGACCACAACACAATACATTTATTACAGTATGCAAATATAAGATCAAATCAATGACATAATATACAGTCCTCCATTGTAAGTTTTTAATATCCTCAAAAACAGTTAGTTGGGAAGCTGGAGCTCCTGCTCTCGAACACTCATAACATAATAATTACAAACAAAATCTGGGCCAGAAACAGGAATTGAAATCCTTATTTTAATGTGTGTCCTGAATATATTCAGCTACACGCACACGTCTAAATATCTGCACGTTTCTTGTTAAAACCCAAAAGGCCGACAGACTAATAGTTTATAGTCATAAAATATCAATAAATAGAGAGAGCATGGGGCGGGTGGAGGTGACGGTGTCACCTTGTGGTACGGGTTGTTGCAGCCGCTGCAGAACTGGTAGCGGCACTGCGAGCAGCTAAAGAGCAAGCAGCCGCCTTTGGTGAGCGCGTACTGGAACCTGCAGGACGGACAGGCTGCAGGAGGCCAAAGGACAGCCATGACGGGGGGACGGGGGGGGGACGGGGGGACGGG